TGTCCTGGCCATCAATCCTCCAAATAAAATTGTTCACTCGCTCCATGGCTGTTTGTGGGACATTGCAGTGCGCAATTCGTTGCCCCTTTTCGCCCTCAAGATATACAGTCAATCCACTTTTCAGTACATCCCATGATTAATGTGGGCCTGAGTAACAGACTTAAAAGGTCAGGGAAAGTGCGTTTCCTGTTGTATAAGTTAAAGAACAGGAACAGAAAATGACTTAATCTATGGGATGGCCAAGGCTTATATTAGCTTTGCCAAATTATTGCTCCAGAGACAAAAGTCTAAAAAAACGGATGGTGGTTTTCTAATTACCCCTTTATGAGCAAAGCTTGTATTTGGGGATTGGGTGATGCTGTGTCCTTTTGCCTTTGACGCAAAGTTCAGACGGGGGGGTAACAGTAATTGCTACCACCAAATATCTGAAGTCACCAAATGTGAACCCATGGTACATGTGTCCAAAAGCAATTTTAACGTATAGCCAAATGATGGCAATCTGCCAGTGCTAGCAAGTGATTTTACATGGTGTCTCTCTCATAGGAATGCTGAGATGTGATTGGGACATGTATTAATCAGTCAATTCACTTTACAGTATATACTGTGAAGTGCTTTGAGACGTCTCGAAGACGTGATAAGGAGCAATATCAAATGCAAGGATTATTATTGTAATCACTAAGCTCTGTGAGCTGATCACCCCCATCCTCTCCCAGGTTCATTGCTCCCCATTCCCCAGAGGATTGAGTTCACTCGCCCTCTTCCTCTTCAAGGCCCATCTCAAGACCTTCTTATTCGACTGTGCCTTCGGTCATCTTCCCTCCTCCACCCCCTCTTGCCTTCCACCCATCTTTGGTCCCATCCCTAGCTTGGGTGCAAACTCCTCTTTGTCCAACACCTTGGGACATTCTCCCGATGTGGAAGACACTGTGTAAATGCAATTTGTTCTTATATATGAGCCGGGGGAGGGCTGGTAAATAGTTCTCCAGCTTTGACATCCCTCAGCTCCAAACCTAGTGGATGTTTACAGCTCCAAACCTAGGGGATATTTATCTACCTGAAGCTACTGTGACATATAAAGTGCCCTACCTATATCTTTTACAAGCGGCCTTACTTAACTTTAATCAAGATTGTCTGATAGCGGTTAGAATCAAAAAGTGATAGTGGTAGATAGTGATAGTCTGAGCATGGGAAAAAGATGCTCTCTCCCCATATCCCTGCAAACTTGTCCTCCCCAAATAATTACCTACTTCCCTCTTCAAAGTTGTTATCGAATCTGCTTCCACCACCCTTTCAGGCAATGCATTCCAGATCCAAACAACTCGCTGTGTGAAAAAATTTCTTCTCACCTCCCCTCTGTTTCTTTTAACAACAACCAGTGCTTTGGGACATCCTCCCGACGTGAAAGGCATTGTGTAAATGTAATTTTGTTGTTGTATTTTGTTGTATTTTAAATCGGTGTCCTCGGGTTATCGACCCACCCCCTAGTGGAAATAATTTCTCCTTGTTCACCCTATCGAATCCCCTCATAGTTTTGTAAAGTTCTATTAAGTCTCCTCTTAACCTTCTCTGCTCCAAGGAGAATAATCCTAGCTTCTCTAGCCATTCCTGGTACCATCCTGGTAAATCTCCTTTGCACCCTTTCCAATGCCTTGACATCTTTCCTAAATTGTGGTGCCCAGAACTGAACACAGTCTCTAGCTGAGGCCTAACCAGTGTTTTATAAAGGTTCATCATAACCTTTAATGAAATGATAGTGGACAGGTGTAATAGGTTACAAAGGAAAGCTATGTAAGTAAATGGTGTAAATCGGTTTAAGAGACACCCAGATGGCTTTCTGGAGAGAATGAGGGAGATAAGCTAGATCATAAAAGAGGGGATCTTGAAGGTATTGACTAGAAGATTCAAGTGATTCCATGTCAATTATTGATTTGTGTCAACAATAACTTGAATTTACGCTGTGCCCTTCACCCAGTGTAGCGTCTCGGTAGCACCTAACAATGGCGTAGTTTGATGCCAAGTTGGGGTGAAAGGGCAGGTGATCGTAGGCACGGTCAAAGAGGAAAGACAAGCAAAGAGGGAGCAAGGAGAAGGGGATTGAGCAGGAAGTTCCAGAGGTTAACCCTCTAATTTTTCCGCCACCCTCCATCTCTCTTGATTCCAACCCCCAGCTCGGGTGCAAACCCTTAACTGTCCTTCTGACGTGAAAGGCATTATATAAATGTAATTTTGTTGTTATTGGTGGTGTAGTGACTGAAAGCATAGCTGTCGATTTGGGGGGTGAGGGGTCGAGGGGAGTATAGAAGGCCTGAGTTTGCTGAGCGAAGGAAATATCAGATCTGCGCTTTGTGGTGGACACCAAATTTTGCTTGGACATGGTAATCTGGGACAACACTGAGAAGGGACGAAGATCACTCTGGTCGTTCTCATCTCCCCAAGGACAGCAAGGTCCCAATGTAGGTTAAGCTTGTGGTGAATACAATATGTGTCCAAACAGTTCTCCTTTATGGTTCCGAGTTCCCGGGCACGCGCAAAGTAGCATGTTTACGTGGACCTCTCGGTCTGGTCTGGATACTGTTAAGCACAGTCAAGGGAAAAAAAAAGGCCAGACAAAAAAATGGCTGTAAGGTAGTAATAATAAAAATATAATAATCCTTGCATTTGTTACCGTGCCTTTCCACATTGTTGAGACGTCTCAAAGCGTTTTTTATAGAATATATTGTAAAGTGGATTGACTGTGTATATTTTGTGGGTGAAACACAGCAGCCATGGATTGAGTGACCACATTTTTTTTTAGGGATTATTATCCCCAAACAGCAATCCACCAATCGACTAACTGGGTTCCTACTTACTGCTAGATAAACGGACACGTGTGGAGTAAGGAAACTTGCCTAAGGTTTCCCCTTGCCGAGGATCAAACCCAGGTCCTTTCTCTTGTAAGGCGGGTGCTCTAAACACTACACTACAGGACTCCACAATGGGAGTCTTTTCTGCTCTTGTATTCCAGGTAACCTTGAGAGTGTCCGCTGGGGCTCTGTTTACACCCATCCTCCCCTACACACCTTCAAACCCGTTTCCCCACCCTCTGTCACCAACCTCATCCTGTCCTTGAAAACCACCACCTGCTCCCTGGACCCTATCCCCACTCCACTTCTTATCTCCCAGCTCCACCTCCTTGCCCCACTTCTCACAGACACCAGTAACCGCCCTGGTCAAGGTCATCAATGACATCTTGACCATCTGCGACCAGGGCTCCCTCTGCCTCCTCGAACTCCTCGACCTATCGGCCGCATTCGATACGGTCGACCACTCTATCCTCCTCCACCACTTGTCCTCCCACCTCAACTTTCAAGGTCCTGTCCTTGAGTGGTTTAGGTCCTACCTCTCCCAACATCTTCATTTTGTTTCCACAAACGGCTTTTCCTCCAGCCCCCGCACTGTCTCGTGCGGTGACCCTCAGGGCTCTGTCCTCGGTCCCCTCCTCTTCACCCTCTATATGCTCCCCCTCGGTGACATCATCCGCAGACATGGGGTTAACTTCCCCCAGACTGGAAGGTATGGAGGTATATAAAATTCTCCTAACCTCCCCATTTGCTCCATACCTTCCCCCAGTGCCTTCGCTTTGCTTCCTCCCTTTCCTCCTTCAAGGCCGGTCTCAAGACCTTTCTCTTTGACCGTGCCTTCAGCTCCCCTCTCGACCCTCTACCCCCTCCTCGCTCCCTCCCTTCCCTCCCCTCACCCTGACCATTTCCTCACTGCTCGGGTCCTGACCCAACTGTACAGCGCCTTGGGACGTCCTCCCGACGTGAAAGGCGCTCTATAAATGCAATCTTGTTGTTGTTGTTGGATGGCTTTGAGTGATGGTAATGTTTATGTACTGAGCAGACCACACATGTGTGTGGCCTGGTGGAAGCAAGAAGAGAACCTGCAAAGGCAGAATGGGGGCAAAAAGTGTGAAAGATACAGGCCAATTACTTTATCTCTGTCATGCAGTTCCGACATTTGATTATTTTCATAAAACCGTATTGTTATCTGGAATTTATGGCTTGCAAGCCAGAGATTCCAATGAGCAGTTTAAAAGTATTTCACAGTAGCTCATGAAATGCCTGTGCAATTCTGTGCTGTTATGAAAACCTGCCCACAGAGAGCACTTTGAGATCGAGAAGCTTTCTTTGTTACCAGTATTCCTGGCGTACTGCCCTGTATAGGCATGTGGGGGTTTGTGGGGGGATGGTTACGGGGGGGAGGAAAGGAGGACCCTGACCGACATTGGTGAATTTGCGTGGAACTTTATGGAATTTGCTGGAGAGGGGAAATTTTGTGAACCTTATGAGGGAGCTGTCTGGAGAGTCTTAAACTTTGCTCCAAGCATTGGAAGAGGTACTGTGTGCTTTGTCCTTCATTTGTGGAGTCCTGTTGCTTAGTGGTTAGAGCACTCGCCTCGCAAGCGAGAGGACCTGGGATAGATTCCCGGGCAGGGTGAAACAAACAAAATGTTGGGCAAGTTTCCTTATTTCACACGCCTCTGTTTATCTAGCAGTAAGTAGAAACCTAGTTGCTAGACGATTGGCAGATTGCTTTTCCGGGGTTAATAATCCTATCAAAATAAATAAATCATTAAAAAAAATTGGGTCACTAAATCCAGGACTGTTTGCGGGACACTGCTGTGCGCAATTGTCTGCCGTGTTTCGCCCACAAAATAGACAGTCAATTCATTTTACAGTTTATTCTGTGAAGCGCTTTGAGACATCTGGAAGATGTGATAAGGCGCTATATCAAATCCAAGAATTATTATTATTATAATTGACATTTTGAGATAATAATAGTAATGCCTTCTATATAGCGCCTCTGATGTTACTGCGCCAGGTTAACACAGGCAAACATCTGCAATGTGTAAAATATTAGTTGGCTTGGATGTGAGACAGGTTTAAAGAGTTTTTCTTGTTCAGGTCCTTGAATAACTTTCGTTTTGAGTATTTATTTTTAACTTCAATGCTTTACAGGCGATTAACTCGCACAACGACAACCTGAGCAAAAAATCGAGTGTACGTTACTGCTTGAGGTTTCCGTGACGCCCAAGATGCAGCTTCTCCAATTCCATGGTAGGTCGTGTATTATTAATTGACTTGCGTTTAATTAAAAACCAAATGCCTCTTTGCGCGTCATTTCTTTTTGCAATCTCGGGGTAGTCGTTTGATGTGTGTGAAAATTCCACAGGGAGAGAGAAACCAAGCAAATTCTTCCTTCTAGTGGTTCATGTCTTAAACGTGTGTAAACATGAACTGTTGAACTTTTAAGCAGTGAGATCTGAATACAGGAGATAAGGGAGAGCTAAGCTGTAGCCGGGCTTCAGATCAAAATCAATTTGAGAACAAATCTTTTTTCTGTTTAAATACTGGCAGAAAGCCTTTTAAATACAAGAATTCTTTTTTTAAAAAGCTAGTTTGTTTGTATAGAAATTTTTGTTGTATGTTTTTTAAGGCTCTATTTAGCTTGCTGGAAACACAGTGACCAGTAGAAGGTCCAGCCAGAGGTTGACAAGGCAGGGCAGTGGGATTGAAAGTGCAACAACAACAACTTGCATTTATATAGTGCCCCTCATGCAGGGTAGCGTCCCTGGGAGTATACTTCGCTCTGAGACTCTGAGACCTGTAAATTTCTATGATTCTACCAATCTGACTAGAGAGCTCTGAATTAAAGGAAATCTTTCCTTTCTCTTCTTTAGAATCATAGAAATAGAACCATAGAAATGTACAGTGCAGAAGGCCATTTGGCTCATCGGGTCTGTGCTGTTGCTTTCAAAGAGCAATTCCTTTCGGTCCTATTTACTTGCCTTTGCTCCATACACCAAGGCTTACTCCCTTTTTTTTAGATATCTATCTCGATCCCTTTTGAAATCTAGTATGGATTCTGTCCCAACCACCTACTCCCGACAGGACATTCCATGCTCTAACCCCTCTATGCATGAACAAAATTCTCCTAACCTCCCCATTTGCTCCATACCTTCCAGTCTGGTCCCTACACTAAGTGGCCACTCCATGTCCTCCACCCTGTCCACCCCGCTTTCAGCTTTTCTGCCCCCACCCTCTGGAACTCCATCCCACAGTCCCTTAGCCTCATCCCATCTCTTGCCTCCTTCAAGGTCCATCTGAAGACCCTCCTCTTCGACCGTGCCTTCAGTCACCCTCCTACCCCCACCCTCCCTGCCCTCCACCCCTCCTGATCCCATTCCCCAAATTCCTGACCATCCAGCACCTTGGGACTTCCTCCTGACACGAAAGGCGTGGTACAATTTGTTAATTTGTTGTTGCTGTTGTCTGTTGACTATCTAACATCGATGCATTTTGTGACTGACTCACTGACTTCTTCCATCCCTCTCCCAATCTCCCTCCTTCCCGTTGTGCCGTTGTGAAGACTCAGTGTGCGGTTCCTCCTGGCTCCGTTTGATGTCACGAAAATGAGCCGCCCGCTCCAGCAGAGCAGAGATGCCACAGTGCCCGACTGCGTGGTCATGCCTCAGACCCTGAACAGAGAGCAGCTCCAGCAGAGGCCGGGCAAGGGCGAGAGCTCGCGGGTGGACACCATGTACCAGGTGGTGCCAGGAAGCCTTGCCACCACCAAGGAGAAGCAATACAAAGAACTCAAGCCCTTGATCTGTGCCATCTTACTGGGCCTGGCCCTGGTGGTGGCCTCGGTGATGTCTTGGTGTTACTACACGGCTTCACTGAAGACCTCGATCACCTTCAGACTAGAGCAGCTAGAGCTCCACAGGGAGGGGTTCGTGATCAGGAAAAGCCCCGACTCGGTCTCCTTCCGAATGGGCTTCCGCTCGGCTTCCATCGACCCGGAGTCTTGCCTGCAGGGGGACAGCGGGAACCGGCTGAGTTGCACCAAGTCCAACCGAGGGGAGGTCAACTTCTACGTCGAGACCCTGAAGCCCAAGGAGACGGTGACCTGTTACAACATTCACTGGAGGGCGGGGAGGCCGGGCTCCGCCGTGGAGCACTGCATGTTCTGGGCGGGTGCTAAGTGGTATGGTGGGGCGGAGATGAGCACCCAGCACTGGCCCATGCGTGTATCGGGGGCGATGGAGCCCGCGCCCTATGTGACCGGCGACGTTTACTCGTTCCGCGGTGGCTTCGGGGGCGTGTTGGAGAGGTACTGGGTGTCGTCGAGGGGGGTGGCGGTCCGCGTGAATGATTCAGTGCCTTTGCACGTGGGCTGGAACAGCTCACACCAGGAGGCGGTGTGCCTGCAGGCCAGGTACGGGGAGGGCTCACCATTCAAACCCCGGCAGGGGCACGAGCCAGGGCCGGGGAAGGAGCCGGTGGCCGAGCTCAGCTACCAGGTGTGCGTGGGGACAGACTTGAAGGTCATGCACCGCTACATGGCCAAGAAGCACTTCAAGAAGCCCAGGAACGTGCCTGCGGAGAGCATGTTCAGGTACCCGGTCTGGTCCACCTGGGCCCTGTACAAAACCCAGGTGGATCAGAACAAAGTGCTGCACTACGCGGAGAAGATCAAGAAGTACAAGTTCAACCACAGCCACCTGGAGATCGACGACAAATACAGCAGCACCTATGGCGAGTTCGACTTCGACCCCGTCAAGTTCCCCAACGTCTCCGAGCTGATGGACAAACTGGAGAGCGACGGCTTCAAGGTCACGCTTTGGGTTCACCCTTTCGTCAGCTACAACTCACCCAGCTTTGCCGAGGGCGTCGAGCGCTCGCTCTTCGTCACGGACCCCGGCGGGAGGCTCCCCGCGCTGGTGGAATGGTGGCACGGGGTGGCAGCCTTGCTGGACCTCACCAAGCCTGCCTCGGCCGAGTGGTTTCGCAGCGGCCTGGAGAACCTGAGGTCCAGGTACGGAGACGGATATGCCGTGGCTTCTTTTAAGTTTGACGCGGGAGAAAGCACTTACCTCCCCGCCCGCTTCGCCACTCACAAGCACCTAGCAGACCCCAGCGCGTTCAGCAAGACGTACGCCGAAATGGCGGCCTCCTTCCCCCAACGACTGTGCGAAGTGCGAGTGGGCTTCAGGTCTCAGGGACTGCCTTGTTTTGTCAGGATGATCGACCGTGACTCGGTCTGGGGTTACGAGCTGGGCTTGAAGTCGCTGATCCCCACCGCGCTGACCATGAGCCTCCTCGGCTACCACTTCATCCTGCCCGACATGATCGGGGGCAACGTTTACCCCAATAGGACGGACGTCTCCGATTCCGACCCCGACCTGCCCGACCGCGAGCTATACATCCGCTGGCTGGAGCTCTCGGCTTTCCTCCCCGCCATGCAGTTCTCCGTGCCGCCCTGGCTGTACGACTCCGAGGTGTTGGCCATCGCAAACAAGTTCACCTGCCTGCGAGAGAGCCTGGTGGCACCGCTGCTGCTCCAGCTGGCAGAGGAGGCCACACAGACAGGCAGCCCCATCATCAGGCCGCTCTGGTGGCTGGCACCCAGCGACCCCCAGGCCCAGAGCGCGGACACGCAGTTTCTGATCGGAGACTCGCTCATGGTGGCTCCAGTGGTGGAAAAGGGCACAAAGATCAGAGACGTGTACCTGCCCAGCGGCAAGTGGCAGAGCTTCAAAGGAGATCTCTATGACAAGACTCCCTTCCTCATCACCGAATTTGCCGTCAACCTCGATGAAGTGGCCTATTTTACCAAAGTTAATTGAATGCGTTATATATTTTTTTCCCCCACTTTCCCACCAACAACCCACCAACCCTCTTTCTTCATATTCAAACTGAACTCAATTAAATTGCGTCCGGCAAATTGGACCACAGAGCCAGCTGTGAGCGTTTTTTGCACGGCTCTCCGCACTGGACTCTGCTGTAACTCTTTATACTGTGTGCGTTGGGGAGGTGGGAGCAGTGGTTCAAAAATGTATCAACCATTGTGTGTGTTTTGGTGTGTGTGTTTCATAGAATGATCGGATCTTGCATTACAGAAGGAGGCCATTCGGCCCATCGTGCCTGTGCCGACTCTTTGAAAGAGCTATCCAACTAGTCCCACTCCCCCGTTCTTTCCTGTAGCTCTGCAATTTTTTCCTTTTCAAGTACATATCCAATTCCCTGTTGTTTGTTTGTATGTGTGCATGTGTCTAGAAAGGAAATACTTTCTCTAATCTAAATGGTCCTGTTTAATTAAGTTACACATGTGATCCCTAGCATTGAAACCAAATGAAAGCATCAGAAGAATGCCTTTTAGTAAATAAATACATTACATGTTTCTTGATCGATATACCAGAAACACGCTTCAATAATGAGAACGAGGAGAGAGGAAGCAGGATAAATAACTTCCAAGGAGAGACTGATTTTTTGTTGTTGTTGTTGCTACTTTTGGAATTTTATCCCCCCAATCTCTCAGACAATTGGTCTCCTCTTGTAAAAGTATTGTTTTCTCCCCTCCCGGGAATTGTCTGTGTGTGTGTGTGTGTGTGCGTGTGGAAGGAAGGAAAACAAGTGAGTCCCTTTTCTAAATTGTCTGCGCATGTGTGTCCGTGTGGAAAGAAGGAAAACAAGTGAGTCCCTTTTCTAGCATTTTACTGTTTGTCCTCCCAACGTGAAAGGCGCTATACAAATGTAATCTTGTTGTTTTTCAACCGTGCATCAAAAAGGAAGACTGTAACTTGGGTTTGGTACGTTGAGAGGGAAACATTTGCTAATGGCTAATATTTCAGATGTGACCCTTCATCAGAAGCTCACAGCATCTTAGTAGCCTTGGTCTAAGGAGAATAATCAGCCGGAGTTCCATGAATTCACTGCAGTAAGCTGCTATCTGTGTTGTGTCCCTCTGTGTCCTATCTGTGTGGACAATGTAATGAACCTGCTGTACAGATCTGTAGTGAAAAACGATTTGGTGTGAGTGGAATAGGCTGAAATCTGCCAAATGATGAAAATTCACAGCAGGTCGATCCGCATCAGAAGGAGAAAGTTACACTTAACCTTTCGCTGTTTAATATCTCAGGTAAAATGCTCTCATCAGGATAGGATGTTCCTCACTGACATGTATCTCAAGCAGAGACTTGAGACTCATTTATCAATGTTATTTATTCCGACACTGAATCGATATGTTATTGTGGCTTATCGTGTACACAAGTTAAGCACATTGACAATACTGTAATAATCCTGCAAATACAGTTAAAGTAAAGTTATAAGGTTATGTGTATGTCTAATGTTACAGGTAATAGGGTTATGTGATTCAGAGAGTCGGCTTTATGTATTCCGACTCCCTTAAAAAGACATTTACCTAAAATAATCAACTGACGAGTCAGAAGCCTAACGTTTCTCATGGTTCTTAACCTTGCTTTCCAAAGTCAGACTCTATTTTTAAGATTTTTTTCAAATTTCCTGCACAACCTTAAATCTTAACACAATTCAACTCATTGAATTGGTTTTAAGGCTAAGATTATGAAGTATGTCAGACCCCCAAACCCTCTCACATCCTTAGTTTTGCTTGGTGATATGCTTTGTTGTAACATCATGTGGTTCATTATGGGGGTTGGGGGGGTCAATTTAACCACTGATACTCTATACAGCGAGCTCCTGATCTCAGCTGGAGTTTGGATAGGGAGATAAAACATCAGCAGCCCAGCTATCCAAGGCCATTGTCAGCTATTTTTTTCTTTGCATAGATTTACAGAGAGGCAAGGAAACAGATAGTTCAGCCCAATTTGTCCATGCTGTGGTTTATGCTCCAAATTAGTCTCCATGCACGGCTTACAGCCTCCCATACCCCTCTGTACCCTTCTACCTTGTGTATATCTAGCTTCCTATTGAATGTGTTATGAACACTCTTTCATTTCAGCTCACAAGTTACAAATCCAACCAAAAGCCCTCTACTCAGCTCTCCCTGCTTGTTGCGTTTCTACCTCCTGATCCCCTCCCAGCGGTTCTAATCAATTGGTCCCTATTGTCTTATTGAGCATCCAACAGAAAGCAGGAGCAGGCTTCCTATGACCATTACTTCTGCTAAAAATTGGGGAGAGGGAAGAGAGAGGTGAAAAGGGCTTCGAGTATGCTGAGCAAAATTACGCTTTCCACTAACTCAGCACAGATCAAAGATGGAATTGTGAATATTCCTGGTTTGGGAAACTGGTTACCCCACTGAGCTCTCTTAAGTAATCAGACTCATTGTGACATTTGCTTTTAAGTGGAAGGATTTGTGCTGCATAAAGCAAAACTAAAATGTGACGAGCAAATAGTTGTATGTCCTATCCAGAACTTCTGTGTAAATCAAATGGATTTGTGTACACTTTAATCAGTTAGCTTGGGACATATGTGCACTCAAGGTGAAAGGCAAACTAGATGGACTTTGGTCTTTTTTCATCTAGCATTTCTTATGTTCTTATCTTAACACCTGGGGGATGTGTAATTAAAAATGATTGCTTTTGTATTGCAATCATGCCTGCAACACATGACCAAGTTAAGTTGTTTTGGGTCTCTTGTGTGGCACTGATCACATAAGCAGATAACATATACATTATAGGCGCGAGTGTGTATGTTGGGTGTGTCTGTTTGTTTTAAAGCTTTAACAGGAACAGATTTGTGTCTTAAAAAGCACTGCAGAATATTGACCTGCAGAAAGTTGTGTTTCAAAAGCCCCAGTGGAAGGATACTGCAGTCTGGTGTGTGTTTATGTTTGCACAACACGGACTGATGAAGTTCAAAATGTCCTGTTTTCTTCTGCTTGACATTGAGACTTCGGTTTCTTGTCCATAGCTAGAGACATGTTACATGAATTGAAGACTAGCGATTAGATGCCTTAAAAAGCAATGAATTAACTTTTAAGCTACTTGAATATAGAAAAATGCACTACCTTTGTTAAAATGTATTCTAAAGTTTATCCAAAAGAAGTTTTGTCACTGAAGGCTGTACCTGACTGAACTAACAAAGGAAGCATTACAAGAGATACTCAGAAGAGATGCGAAATAGTTAATAACTGGTTTTAAATTCTTATGCTTTAGTCGGTGTGATTTGTGATTTTTTTTGTAACTTAGCAAAAAATGTTGTTTCTTTTGTTAAAATTAAATATTAGCTGTTACCAGCATCCAGGTCTGAAACCTCTGCAACAGTGGCCTTTGACTCGGGAGTATGTAGGATGGTAATGGAGCCTCCATTGTAATTTGTGCACTAAAGACTTTGCAATTGCACGTTCGAAATTCACACCAGAAGTATTAAAGTATATTTTAAAAAAATCTCCGTGTAGTTCCATTCTTTAAAAATATTTAGATTTGCTTGCTGTTCGACCCACGTTCAAAGCCCGCGTCAAGACGTACCTATTTGCGCTTTCAATTCTATTTGAGACAGACTTTAAGACATCTCAAAGACGTGATAAGACGCTATATCAAATGCAAGGATTATTATGCACGTTTCGCCCACTTTGCAGTATATCCTGTGAAGCACTTTGAGATGTCTCAACATGATAAGATGCTTCATCAAATGCAAGGTTATTTTTAATATATATTTGCTCTTCCCATCCTCTTCAGCTCCCACCCCTATCTCGGGGGCCCAGCCAGTAATGTGAAACTCTTTGCAACATCCTCTTGACGTGAAAGGCATTGCATAAATGCAAATTGTATTTGTAGGTGGGAAATACTCACAGGACAGAAATCCTAGATGATCATCCCTTTTTAAAACGTTTGTTTTAAACTACAGTGTGTGTCAGCCTGGCTCAGTGCATTTGATGTGACAACAACTTGCATTTATATAGCGCCCATCACACAGGGTTGTGTCTGAGAGAACATCAGGTCAGGAAGATATCACAGGATTTACGGTATGGCTGTATCTTGCAAGGCAGTTAATTTGCAAGCAGCCAATGTCCTACAAACAGACATGAAGTGAATGAGCCATTTTATTTAGGAGGATTGTTGGCCAGGACACTGGGAGAAATTCTACATCTATCAGATCCTCTGTTTTACTGCAGAAGGGAAACAATAGTATGAATTATTTTGTGTTAATCAATGTCATGGATTTTTCCAATTGTTTGAGTGTTCTTAAAAGAATAAAATTCGATAGCAGCTCAAGCTGATTGAGCCCTGAAAAGGGACCTTTCTTTATGACCGAAAATCTTTGATATGTTTAGGCCACGTTTCACAGTGATGAAATGGATTAAAAAGAAACACATGGGGCTATAAAATGTTCTGTTGTGAGCCAGCATTGCATAATTGCTGGCACACTCGTGGATAACAGCATGTTGGCTCAAGCCCCAACTTGGGATTTCAACTCGGGAATCTACAACAACAACAACAACAACAACAAGATTCCATTTATAGAGCGCCTTTCATGTCGGGAGGACGTCCCAAGGCGCTGTACAGGGTCAGGACCCGAGCAAGGGGGAAATGGTCAGGGTGAGGGGAGGGAAGGGAGGGAGCGAGGAGGGTGTAGAGAGTCGAGAGGGGAGCTGAAGGCACGGTTGAAGAGAAAGGTCTTGAGACCGGCCTTGAAGGAGGAAAGGGAGGAAGCGGCGAAGGCACTGGGAGATAGAGTTTCAGAGCCTCGGGGCTGAGAGGCTGAAGGCCCGACCACCGATGGTAGGGCGGTTGGGGCGGGGAATGTGGAGCAGACCAGAGCCAGAGGAACGGAGGGTACGGGCAGGCAGGTAGGGGGATAGTAGGTCGGAGAGTAAATAAAAAAATATAGAAAGGAGAACTAAAAGCCAGTGATGAAATCCTTTTATGGTGTTGCTTTTTCCTCTTACCCTCTTATTACTATATCTTGCAAAAGAAGGAACCACAATAATGGACCTGACGTTCACTAATTCAGGCTGCCTGACATCTGGTTCCTGATTAAAATCATAAGCGCAAATTTAATTGTAAATCCTGTGTAAAACCACACTTTAGAAAAAAAAGTTTCCTTATTTGAATGAGAACGAATAATTATTATTTTTATTATTATTATTTTCAACAATTATTAAATTATTATTTTCAACAATTTTGGCACAGACAAAATTTGAGCTAATCTCTGGGTATTGTTCAG